TGCTCTGGATGAGGAGAGACCCATTGTTGCATCTAGATGGCCACTAGCAAGCTTTTAAGATCCCAGTTACTACTCGCCAAAGTAGGATGTGGAAGAATGTTTTGTGTAGTATGTTATATGTGGCAACATTTTTATTGCTAGTTTATTATTTAGCCATGTGGTAGAATTTCTTGGATAGAGAAATATTAAAATGTTTATGTAGTTATGTATCTTTTTCTTTTCCTTTGTATTTTTTCAGGTAATTGTACCCTTATAATTCCTATGCTTAGTTCAGAAAATACTTACATATTTTTCTTTTAGCTTGGCTTAATAATTTCACATGTGAAAAGTAACTTTTCTATCCATCTGCAGTTTATCTTGATACATGATAGTGAGACATTAAGTTATATATACAAATACCTCATTAAATTAGCATTTTAAGTATTTCTTTCCTTTAACTATTATTAATATTTGTTCTTTTTTCCCTCCACAGTTGTCTGACTATACACCCTTCTCTTATAAATATAGTAGTAGTGAATATTTCTGCACCAGTTTTCTAGTTCCAGTGTTCTATCAGTACTCCTCTCTCTCATTTTTCCTCATCAGTTTTTCTTAAGTTTCATCATTCATTTATTCTTCCTGAGGAAATTTTGAATCATGTACCAATGTTCAAAATATGCCATTGGTGTATTGATTATATTTAATTCATAAATTGATTTGGAAATTTTGACTCTGTCTTACCTTCCAGGAACAGTATTCTATGACACCAGCCTCTTTTTACTTCTTTCCATCTCAGTTACTACCACTGAACAAAACTACTATGTCTGCTTCTCAGATTGAACTTTTGGCAAACTCCCAGTACTAGAATGGAGATTGATTCTTGAATATAACCAGAGTCTGAGACCATATTGCCTGGGTTTTATTCCCAGCACTCCACTCACTTACTATCTGTGAGACCTGAGCATGTTATTTGAAATCTCAGTAAAAAGGGTAAAAGAGAGTTGTGAATACTAAATTATTGTTGTTATGTGCTGCCTGGGACATAATAAGATTTCAATAATTATTTTCTATAATCATCGATCCTGCTGGAATCATCTGAGTGGCACAATCAAAGCCAGACATTTGAGCCTTCACATTGAAATATTGTTGGTCAGGATGAAGATCTAGAAGCACATGCTGAGGCCGAATTTGAAGTGTTTGTGACATGGTTATCAGGGACCAATTTCAGAAAAAGGAAAGGGGAGGAAGCAGTATTGATCAGAGGGAAAACAGAAGTGTGATGTAGGCTCAATAAAACTGGTTCAATGCAGCAGAAAGCTATGGAGTGAGAACCGCCAGCCAGAGTTGTCCTACATCAGTCCAAACAGTCTGGACTTTACCTTGCCGTGGATACTGACTGCCCCAGAAAGGTGAGAACTGGAGGGAAATTCTCTTTGCAACTGAGACAGACTCTAAAGTTGCTGAGAGCTAGAGGCCACAGCTCCCAAAGCTGGGTAGCAAATTCTTCCTTCCCCAATATCTACTTCCCCTTGCAGTCATCTTTATTCCCAGACCTCCACAGAGTAAATGAAAGTCTGAGACAATCCTTGAGTAATTTCCCTGGAGACACTCAGAAAGGCTCCAAGGAAGATCTATCTGGGCAGCACGCCTTTGTGTCTATTGCCTTGCTTGATAGGCTGACCTAAGGGTTATGTAATTTTTTAGAATATACTATCACTTGAATTTTCTATTAACTATTAATTAAAGACACAGAATCCTGAAACTACATGTTAGATTGTGGTCTTGTGTTCAGTACAGCTGCAAATAACTTCTCAGTAGTAAAAAACAGAAATCTTTAACCACAAGCATTGCAATTTATTGCTCTCTGAGACCTTAACCAATTTTGTACTTAACATGACAATCTTATTCTAACAGTTTTAAATGCCTTTCCTAATGAGTTATATAAATTCCTGTTCCGCAGATGCTTTTTGAATCAGTTTTATCATCTTACAGTTTCCCTTATGACTGCTAACCAGAAGCTGGTGGTTCAAACCCACCAGCCACTACTTGGAAGGAAGATTGGGCAATCTGCTTCTGTAGTGATACACCTCAGAAACCCAAGGTGGGGTCGCTATGAGTCAGATCCAACTCAACGGCAGTGAATTTGCTTTTTTTTTTCTTTTGGGGGGGTTATATTTATGGCAGTCATATTTTTAAATTTTGAAAATTACACTTCAGCATGAACAGAGAAGGAACAAAGACAGAGATGTAGGACTCATCTATCTGACACAGAAAATGATAATTTCTATACTTTAAAAACCAGAAAATATGAACTTTAATGTCATTGCTTATGCTCAGCAATGACCAAAATAAGGGTTTAGAGATTTAAAAAAAGGGGGTTAGAGATTAAAAGCTACATTCTACAGGAGAAACATTAATATTTTAAATCATGTACATCAAGAATATTTAAACAATATTGTAAGAACACAGGAAACATTACCAACTAAACACAATTTAATTGTCATTAATGTTTTTAGTCATCAACTCTACCTAAGATTTTTTTTTTCTAAAAAGGTATTTGAATTGTAACTCTTCCTTTACTTACATAGATCATGCTGTTCTCTTTTCAAAACTTCTTTTTTTCTCTGAAAAAAAGGAAAAGACCAAAACGGATGTCAGAAGAGACTCTGAACTTTGCTCTTGAATGCAGAATAGATAAAGCAAATGGAAGAAATGAACAAGTAAAAAATCTGCACAAAAATTTCCAAGGGCAGCTTGAGAAGGCAGTTAGATTTCTAAGTCTAGGTCTTTACACATGAAATTTAAGGCCTCAGACAACATTTCAATCATTTTTAGCCAGAATTTAAAAAGCCTACAATAGTTTGCAATATTAATAAAATGTAAAGTGAAACTGCAATTGAGAATGAATGCAATATTGCCCAGTCACTATGGAAAACATGTTAGCAGTTTACTATAAACATACACTTACAACTTATATTCACTCAAAATCTTGTACAATAATGTTTCTATTGGCTTTTTCAAAATCATTAGGAACTTGAAACAACCCAGATGTCCTTCAGTTTATGAATGGATAAACAAAGTATGATGTATCTATAAAAATGGATTGTTGTTGCTGTTAAGTGGCGTGCAGTTGGTTCCACCTCATAGCAACATTATGTATGAGAGAATTGAAACTTCTCCCAGTCCTGTGCCATCCTCATAATCCTTACCATGCTTTGGCCCATTGTCACAGTCAATCCATCGTTTTGTGGTCTTCCCCATTTTCCCTGACCTACTTAACAGCGTGATATCCTTCTCCAGGGATTGGTCCCTTCTCACAACATGACCAAATTACAACAAAGTCTGGCCATTCTTGCTTTTAAGGAGGGTGCTGTCTCTACTTCCTCCAATACAGATTTGTTCACTCTTCTACCAGTCCATGGTACATTCAATATATTTTTTAGCACCACAATTCAAATGCATCAATTCTTCTGTGGTCTTCCTCATTCATTGTCCTGCTCTCACATGCATATAAGCGTATTGAAAATATTGTGACTCAGCTCAGGCACACCTTAGTCTCCCAAGTGACATTTTTGCTCTTTAACAATTTACAGAGGTCTTTTGTAGCATATTTACCCAATGCAATATGTCATTTGATCTTTTGACTGCTGCTTCTATTGATTGTGGATCCAAGTAAAATGAAATACTTGACAGCTTTAATCTTTTCTGCATTTATCATTGTGGTAGTTAAATTTGTATATCAACTTGGCTGGGCCTGGTTGAGTGGCTGGGTAGCTGGTGGTAGTTATTCCCCATGATGAGACTGGCAATCAACTCCATGGTGGGATCTACCACAAGCAGCTGAGTAGCTGCCTTTGGGATGCGGTCTGCTTCCCGTATATAAGGAGAAGTCTTGGGGATAGTCTCTAGGTCATGGCACGCCGGGACCCTGCATGTAGCTGTGTCATTATTCAGTAGCCTGCCATGTTCTGCTGACCTTGGGACTTACAATAGACTTGAATTAATAGCCTTCAGTGTGGTTTGGTAACATCGGGACTGTGCCATTTATTTGTCAATCTTGGGCTTGTTAGCTTCAGCAGCCAGTAGCTGCCTGAGTGAAGAGATGCCTCTAGCTTCAGTGGTCTGGGAGCAAGAGACAAAGCTGAAGCCCAAGGTCGAAGGGCTTTCACCCAGCCCCTAGAGCCTGGCACCTTGAACTCGGACTTCTAGCCTCCTGAACTGTAAGAGAATAAACTCCTGTTTGTTAAAGCTATCCCATTTGTGGTATATTCTTGTCAGAGTAGCGCTAGGTAACCAGAACAATCATGACATTGCTTATTGGTCTAGTTGTAAGGATTTTTGTTTTCTTTTTGTTGAGGTGTAATCCATACTGAAGGGTATAGTCTTTGACATTTATCAGCAAGTGCTTCAAGTTCTCTTCATTTTCAGCAAGCAAGGTTATATCATCTGTATATTGCAGGTTGTTAATGAATCTTTCTCCAACCCTGATGCCTGTTCTTCATATAGTCCAGCTGCTCAG